TAAAAGCAAATACCCGGTATGTATGTATGTCATTAAACTCTCGTTCAGCACTGTGAGGACAAATAAGCATAGAACCCATCTGATAGTATAGAATTGCTGTTCAGAGGTTAAGATCGAGTAAATGATCGCTTCAGAAATAGAGATTCTTCAGAGTGGGCAACCCGTCACAGATCCTGAAAGACTTAGTATTATATACAATTCTACATTCATATATAGTTATTTCAGTCCTAATAAATAGAGACGGCATTGTTACTAATGCGGACTGATATTATGATTAATTGCAATATTTCCTATTAGGTTCCTAGTTCTCCGTAGGCTCCTATTGTATATGATATTGGTTGATTGTAGATGAAATTGTCAGGATGGACTAACCTGACTTCCTACTTATAATGTATCATCCATCGGTGCCCCACCAGCGTATACCATTAATGCTGACGAGAGGACATTTGAGGCATTTTAATATATGTACATGTTGACTTACAGGTTACAATCCAGAAGGTTTTCTTCGAAATTGTTATTATGTATATTTGGCTATATATATAATCAAAATAGAAACAATAAAATACTTTTATAAACCTGTCCTCATAATTTATTATTATTTTCTTCCAAATACTTGTCTTACACAAGCAACATTGTTGTTGACAAATGTAGATAACAACCTTTGCAAAATATACAAATCTAAGATAATCCTACAAGACACTATTGGCTCACGAAAACCACATTTCTTTATTAGCATCTTGTTTTTAACGTCAATATATGTTTCACAAAGAATTTTCATTTGTTTATTACACAAACCACATTATTTTATTTAAATATAACGTTTATAAGGGTTCCTTAGTAGCTTTGTATTAGTGTTATGTATTATTTAGTCAGTAGTAGATTTAAATAGGGCTAACAAATAAATTTATTTTTCTTTTACCCACAACGAATGTACAATAAATACCGTTTCATACCATACTTTTTACCCTAGGTAAGAAATCTATAGCATGGCTTGTCTCAAAGACCATTTAATATTTTTTATTAATAAAATGTATAAGCCATAAATATAATAACTAAAGCATATAAGTATTGTTCAATTATAATATGTTTTGTTATTAATATCTGTTTATATAAGTATCAAAGATTTTTCAGTATATTTATTTAGCAAGTAATACCTATTCACACTTCATGCTACATACTTAAGACGCTATCTTTCGCTTAATATTAAGAAAAATAACAAGGAAATTTGTCATCAGACAAATATAGTTTCTAGGAAGCATCAAAGTACACGTACACCTTTGGGAAAAAAACTAATAAAAAAGCGGGCAACACAAAAGATAGGGGACAATGGATGCCCGACGGAAGTTGGTCTCGATACCGGATGTTGTCAGATGACACAGCTAGTAAATTCGACATTCACTAGTACCTCCAAAAAAAAACATGTATATGGAAGCAGTATTTTAATATTCCTTATTTTTAATACAAGAATTCCTAAATTTCTCATGTGCACATGTCTAATATCATCATAATTTCAGTACAAATTTATGAATACAACTTGCCTTTTAATGTAAAAACACATAAGACTCTTAAGTGAGAAGTAGGAACAATAAGGGTCACTTTAAATATAAAATTATTTGCGATCATTTACCCCGTTTTCGACGGAAATAGTCCAATGACAAATTATTCGTTTTACACGCAATCTAATAATGACAACACCTTTATAAAGTTCATATTACCCTTTTAAATTTAGTATAAACTTTAATTCACTAAAATTTTTTAAATCTCTGGTACCAATGTGACTATTATAAATTAATACTTAGAATTAAAAAATAACAGAATAACTAAAATTAATTTAAGGTAACTAAAATATCAGATAATATTCTTATTAAATTTACTTAAGACGACATATAATATAATGTACAATATTTTTTAGCTGATTCTTATATTCATTACAACAAAAAAATTATTATTTTTATTAATTTGCTGCATTTAAGTAAGATCTAATAATTAAAAAATCTAAAAATTATATATATATATTTATTAAAAATAATAAATATATCATATATAATAATAATAAGATAATAATATATATATATATATATATATATATATATATATATATATATCTATGAGATATAAAAACCTAGACAAATTTATATCTAGCTTAGCATGGTATATATGCCGTAATAATATTAATCATTGACTACTTCCGTTTAAGTTACTTCAAACATTGACACGTCAATGTCGATAAAATTATAGTTATAACAAAAAATATCGACCAAAGTTCGACAAAGTTAAACAAAGTTTCCATATACTTACGCATCCTCTTGCGTCGACGTTGTGCGGTTATGTCGCAATATTTTTTTGTTATCCAAACATAATCGCTATCTATATATACAATAAGGCTTGCCCTGTCTCACTGTCTGATCTATTAACGCACTGTATACACCACTGAGGAAAGAAACAAATTTTATGAAATAATAAAAACCGTGCCGGCCTTTACAGCTTCACCGGATGAAATTCGAAGTGCAGTGGATATTCGAAACTCGCGAAAGCACTTACAGGGCGACTGACAGCCAACTGTTGCTTAACGGATACGACTTTAATCTGAGGGCATCTAGAGGTTTGAAACTAGGCAACAGGAGAATAATAATATATAAACAAAATCCCGATATAAGTGTCTAACAGAATACCGCATACAACAATGTGTCTAAAATAATAAAATCTTGACTACATCCTAATATATTTAAGTCTATAAGAAAGGGTTTCCTAAAATGCAACAGGCAACGAAAACTAAAGCCATTGATTTCACGCAAGCGAAGTCGTGGCAAATAACTAGTGTAATATAAAGTACTGTGTGTGTTATGGAAGAAATTGTTTTTGCACATAATTTACCTACTGTAACATCAGAAATAAAATATTATCTCATGACACGACAAAACAAATGATATGTACGAGTAATAATTATTTGTTACTTGCTTTGTAATATGTCATCTGATAACGTTAATGGTATTATAGGTTAATATAATATTTACATTATAATCATTAGGTACAAGCATTTTATTATATGTAAATTATATTTCTTAACGTACACATTTAAACATAGTTGAGTTGGCCACGATTTCTTTCATTTAATGTCTTATGAATACAATTAACTGTTTTAAAATTCGAATATAGAAGAATGTAGGTTTGCTATATTTAGATGATACATAGATTTTTAGTAAAACTAATGATTATCTGGGATATCCTGATGTATGACTATAAAAATCTCGCGTAGTAATATTATTTTTTCTTTAAGAAATATGACTTACTCCAACTTAATACAGGATAAAAATACAATGGAGTGACCCTGAATATGTCTATCTATACTTAACATACCTACTTTCATTTATTTAGGATTGTAATGTAATGAGGAAGGTTTTAATTATTTCCATGTGTAAATGCAACATATATTTCACCAATTTTACGAGTTATATACCATGTGTTTTCTATGTAAGTCTATGTATTTGTATCAGTCATCTAGTACCCACAACACAAGCTTTAGCTAGCTTAACTTGGGTCTAGATGGCGCTGTGTGAATTGTCCTAAGATTATAGATTATTATTAGATTATCATTATTGTACCAGTAGCTATTAACAACGAATACCTTCGACAGTATTCTATGCGGTTAAAGCTGAATAACAAGGATTGGTCACAACGTTTGCCAGATCAACCAGTAGTATATACATATATTTTTTTAATATAATTCTGAACAACATTTACTTATTTAAAAGAGCAACATACAAATTTCTTGTTTATTCTTCTTGATTAGTCTGCGATGTAGAAAAAAAAATATGACTATTCAAAAGTGTATGTTTTAAGTATTTTAATAAAGATTATTTCTATTTTTATAAAATTGTTACATCTATACTATATTTGTATATCAATTTGAAAAGTTCTAAATTATTTACGTATTATAATAGATATATAGAACTATATATAACAGTATAAGATCACGGGTTATTACTCGTGACTGTAAGTTATGTAATATCTATTGACATTGATTTGAATGTTAATTGACGTCAATTGGCCTATTTACGAGAATTAAATTATATTTTTCGTGTAATGAAATCTTCTTTGAAATCTTAACTACAGTTTTATTTTAAAGTAGGTGACTAGCTCGGAACTTCGTCTCTTTGATTCCACATACAAATTATTATACTCTTTTTTAACTTTATTCTGGTCAGTATATTCGAACAAAATCACGTATTATGAACTAACTTCCTTACTTATTATATTTTTTTTATATGTAGTATTACGAATGTAAGTCAGTAAAATATACATCAATGATTATTTATACATTTAACACAAGTCATCAATAGTAGCGATCTTTATACATATTTTCAACGACACATTGAACCCAATATCCTGTCCACTGCCGTATGTAAAAGCAAACTAAATGGGCGACATTGCTACTGCGGACGGAAAGAAATAAGAATTTCTACGACTTATTTTAGGGAGGTTGGACAATTTATGTCTTCAGATATTCTCATTCAAAAGATACTGCAATAACAAACATTTTTGGGTGAACTTGACTAATATATTATACAAATAAATATACAACTTACTAGTTGTTTACTTTACATTTAAAATAGATTACTTTTTATTATATTTATATATTCTAGATATTTACATTTCAAGTTATATGCATCTATTAATGAGGTTTATTTTATTTTTAGAATATTTCAAAACTTAACAACATATCAAATATCCGGTGAAATTATGATATTTATATGTTACCTTCTTTATATATTATAGGAATAATATAATATATACATTAAATAACAGCTCACTAAGAATTCATACCGTATTCTAATAAATCCATCCACATAGTATAAAACAGAAAAAAATATTGACATTAGTAGAAATAAATAAATAATAAAAAAAATTTTAACTTAGAATGTGGTATGGAACTAAACTACTCATTTATAAGACTACTTCTCATTATTATTATTATTAATCATATCTTTTTTTCTTTGCAGGTAAACGGTTCGTGGGGCTTGCCGGCCTTTGTGTGTGATGTGTATATTGCGATGGACGTTACCTCCTCCACTTCAAGTATTTTCAACTTAGTCGCCATCTCTGTTGATAGGTAAGACATTTTATACCTATATATATAAACATATATTTTTCTAATAATATAAGTATGGCCAATAAACTGTACAATAGCAAGCCGTAATACTACCAGTATTGTACTGTGTTACCTCAACATGATTAATTACATTACATGATTCAGGAAGATGATCAGGCGTTATGAATTATTTTACAGTATGATAAATTTATTATCATTTTAAATAAAGAATCATCAAAATCAGTTAAAATTTAATGAAATATGTGAAAGAAATATACAAAACCCTCTTTGAGCAGTCGGATGGTAAAACACATAGTCACTATTGCTTTTCATCCCAGTAGTCTCCTATTTACCTTTTAGAAGCGGGGTGTTAGGCATTATTGAGCTTTAAGCTAGTACCCATAACACAAGCTCTGCTTAGCTTGGGACTAGATGGCGCTGTGTGAACTATTACTATTATTATTATTACCACATGTATAATTGGAAAAAGTCAACATTCATTGATAAATCATCGTTTTATAATTAACAATTAAATCTAACTATAATATAAACTAACGGTCTACGTGATGGCAAGCGTCGCCTACGTATTTTTTTAAACGAAGGTGGCAATGAATCATATGGCTCTTCCGATTCTAAATAGTTACCATAGCCCATGAACGCCTGAAATACCAGGGGTATCACGTACATATTGCAGACCCTTAAGAAACCTTAATAAGGGTATATTATATCTTGAAAAACCTCACAATGTAATTTCTGGAGAAAACCTCGGCAGATAGTCTATTCCATAATCCTATATGAACAGCACCGCGAATTTACGTCATCATATAACGCAAGAGACTCTTGTCTTGCATTTCTAGGTGCCTAGGTAACTTGTAATTTAATGTCATATCTGATATTTCAACCGAAATCAAACTACTCGGTGGCTTAAATAAGTAAAATTGAAATACCTACGGAAACGTCTCCATTCAAAGTCTATATTTGGTGAAATATATCCTTATTTATTCCAATCTATCCCTCAGGTATATAGCAGTAACACAACCAATAAAATACGCAAAACATAAGAATAACCGGCGGGTGTGGTTCACCATTGTTCTCGTATGGCTGATATCAGCCGCCATCGGTGCACCTATTGTGTTGGGTCTGAACGACACGCCTGATCGCAACTTCGACGAATGCCTCTTCAACAGTCAGAACTACGTTATCTACTCATCATTAGGATCTTTCTATATACCTTGCATCATGATGATGTTCCTCTATTATAATATTTTTAAGGTAAGATACAAAAGAATATTATTTATTACTAATCTTTTCACATGTTTAATTAATAAGAAATGCCAGCTACCGTCTAATGCTAACCCACGGTGGTGTATCACCCGATATTATTAGGTACTTCTTTTTCGCTCAATGTTAATTAAGTTCTTATTTTTGCTCGGTTCTTACAAGCTGTAGTATGTTGTTTAATAGTCTAAAACATACTTATTTCTTAGCTGTTAACTAAAATCAGTTTTATTTTTAAATTAGAATAACAGTTCCAGGGAATATATCACAGAATAAAAAAAAATATTGCATAGTTATGTGCCAATACTACACTATGATTTTGAAAGATACACTGGCATTTGATAAATATAATCAGAAATACAGTTTGATTAATATAATTTTATATAACTGTCTCTCTCTTTCTAATATACCTATGTATTAAGTGCATGAAACTATTTAATACTGTATAAATAGAGAAATAGGTACGCGGTGTAGGAAACAAGAATAGAAAGCAATATAGCAGATTTGATAAGTAGTATTACATTAACGTTAAGCCTTTTTAATGAATGATGTTCTAAAAATATTTGAGAAGAGGAAAAATTTTTAAATATTATATGTAATATTAATATAGAAAGCGAATGATATAATTTAAAAATAGCTTTGTAATATCAACGCCTACAAGTTTTTTGTGAGCCAAAAATATTTTCGCTACCAAATTGTTCCATAGAAAAAGTATTAATAGATAATAAATATTTTTTGTCTGTGATTATAAGAAATTCATAACATTACACGCACCTTGCTCTGTTTTCGCTCGTATTGTTCAATATTGTAATAGGATATTTTACACAATCTGTACAATATCTATGCGGTCTATATCTACTCATTTTACGAAATAAAACATTTCCTGTAGATACATTTTTTTATTATATTTCATTCATATTAGAATTAAATATGTGCTAATATTTATCAAAAATGTATAATTGTGATTAGTACTGGCAAATAAATGATACCTTTAGCATCTTTTCGTATTTATCGTCTCTAAGAATTTACTGTAATAACTTCTGTGTGAAGTTATTACAGTATATTCTTATTACAGTAGAGTACTTATTACAGTACCTACTATTAACCGGGCGTTTATAAGTTAAGACTTAATTTTAATAATATACTTTCATTCTTAAATATAATATGGATTGTTATGGTATGGCATCATAAAATTAATCAGGTACTCATTTACCGATGACGGATGTAACAAAAAGTGGGTTCTTCATCTACATTATCTACAGCGATCTACTGTATGAAGAGTCGTGACTCATTAAGAGAGAAATTCAAAGAGGCAAATATTCTCACCGTTGCTTCTCAATTTATATATTCAAATATCCTATATGTTCATAAAAATCTTAACTTATTTCCAAAAAACAGCAATATTCATAATATTAATACTAGATTTAAAGACAAACTTGCTGTCCCCAAGTATCGTTTAGAAAAAGTCAATAGGTCTTTTATGGGAATAGGTATAAAATTTTACAATAAGATACCAAAGGATATATTGGAATTACCCTTAAATAAATTCAAAACATCTGTTAAATCATATTTACTAAGCAAGGCCTATTACTCACTAAACGATTACTTGATTGACGAGCGTGCATGGCAATAGTTTTCATGTTCGGGATTTTCATTTAATGTTAGACATAGACACCTATATAAATACCTATGCATTGTAAATAAACTGGATTTTAAAAAAAAAGTAATTCAATTGAATTTCATGCCAGTTCTTCTCAATTGGATCTATATACCGAAATGGACGGTAGGGAAAAAAAATTATAATGTAAAAACTTGACGTTCATAAGCGGCTAAAATGTCCTACATGAATAAATGATTTTTGAATTTGAATTTGAATTTGACATTCATTGGTACCTAAATGAGTAATAAATATCTATGATCCTGGCGATGTTACACATTTTCTTCACTAAAACATGACGTAAAACTATCATTTTTACATTATAATAATATAATGTAATTAATATCCAACAGGCATTAAGAAATCGAGCGAAAAAACAGCGTGCCGCTAAAAAACCTCCTATATCTGGGGATCCTACGACAGGTGCTACAGCGGCTGTGGTCATAGAAAATGTAGCACAAACAAGAAGGCTAGCCGAAACTACGCTACACGATGATAGACCTACTAATACTGGTTCCGGTAGCAATGAGGATGATCACGAGGATAGGTAAATAAACAATATTTAAAACTTTACAAACTGTTTACAAACATGAAATGACGGGATATCTATCGTGATTGTTTTTTACAAGCTTCCTATTACTTCGAAGCCATTACCAGTTCAAGTCAATTGGGGTCATGCTTTAGCATTGTCACGGTAAATATTTCGTTAATGTTAACACTGTTAAATGGCAATAACAATTAATAATTTTATAAGGACAAATTAATAAAGTAATGTCCGAATGTTCGACTCGATGCAGTTTATTTTATTGTATTTCATAAAATATAGTTGCGATTTCTAAAACTAATTAAGAGAATTGACTTCTTTTTAGATAAGGTATGTCGTTATTAATGTAGATTTTTTATATAATAAACTAATATAAATTCTTGGAATATTAATAATGCTGTAGTTCAGCATTATTCGGAATTTTACTTTTGTACTATATACTTGTCCCTTTTTGGTATTTTCACCAAATATTTGGATACCTTGCCCTATGGAATGTCTTAATTTTCGAGCAATGAAGGCAAAGAAATGGAAGGTGGTTATCATACTGACTGACAAATCCTATTATAGCATTCTTGGGGACCTTCCTATTTCTATAAAGTTGTAAATATCAATAATGGAATACATAAATTCATATATAATCATTATTAATCATAAAGTACTTACAAATAAATGTAATATGTAGTTAGTTCTTAATAACGAGTAGATCGTTATTATGTAGGTATTATGTAATTGAAGATCCCTCTTTCGGTAAACGCCTCCTCCATCCTACTCCAAGCTTCATATTTTTGCAGTATACTTAATAAGGTTATTTATAAAATAAATAATATTTAATAACTAATTTCTAGATGAAGGAATTTGTATCATAGAAAGAATTATTTAATGAATATATTATAATACAATTAATCTTTCAAAGTATATAGTATATATCTTCAAAATAGATCTTAAGGTATTTTCCTAAAAATACATTTAAACATGTCTGTATTCTTACAGAATAAAACACAGCGAATCTTAACTTGTACTAAATTAAAATGTACATTTCTTAAATTACATATTCTATAAAACTATGTATAAGCATTAGTAAGTAACTAAGTATTATTTTCTTCAAACTAAATATACGCTTAGGTATACCAAAGACTTATAAGCAATGTTATTTGGACAGCTTTGACAATAGATCGGCGGATCTAGAAGCGGATGCTGACGACTGTCATGTCATACCCAATGATAAATCAACGGAGTTCATGCTAGCAACTGTTGTTGAAGAAACCGCAAAGTATGTTCATTTTTCAATAAATAACATATATTTACATTACTACTGACACGAAACAATAAGAAAAGGAATTAATAACAGTATTGGCAAGTTATCTAGTTTGTAAACTGTGGTTTAGTTTGAAGGGTGTTAAATGGCAGTGAGGTTACAGAATATAGAGACAGGGTATCTTAGTCCTCAGGATTAGAAGTAGGAGTACTGGCATGGGCACCACATGACATCGTGTTGTATAATGGCGATGATTGTCACTTACTATTAGGTGGGCTAGTAGTTTGCTTACTATTCCAGTTGCATGGAACCAACGTAAACTTAATGTAGGTATAATTTATAATTTAAATTCTTATTAATAAATAATAATATTACTTTTAGTATTTTTTTTATTAACACAAATAAAAACTAATAATATGAAAATACTGTAATAAGATTAACATGAAAACATCAATAGAACAATTTTTACGAATATATTATTATTTAGCAATAGTCCTGCCATGCCCAATGCAGCTAGTAATGGTTTAACTAACTACTAGTGGTCCCTGATATTACTTATTCCATTAAAATATTTGTTAGTAAAAAAATAGTAGTATTGTGACAAATACGGTAATGTTTTGTTGAAAGTCTTCGAAAGGAAAAACGATAAATACAAATCCAATTAAAGATTGATACGCTCCTAAAGAGAATACTAAAAGACACGCTTTAAGAAACGGGAAGTTCTTTAACGAGTCCATAAAGATTCTGATTATTCAATCAATCAGACTACTTGAAGGACCAAAAGAACTCAGAAGCCATTGACTTCTCACTTAATCAATTACGTAAAGTCAAGTAAAAAGTAAAAAATAAAACGGAGAACGGATCTGGGATGTTTAACTTTTATGGCTTTTTCTGTTTTTTTTATATCTCAAGTTTTTATAAAGTTTGATATTAAAAAGTTGATATTATGTGATATGGTAATAACATTATCGATACAAATGAAAATATTATTAGTATAGTTGCATTCTACGACAATAAACCAATATTAACTAATTTGACAATTTTATTATTTATTTTCTATTTGTCAATATAAGATATATTGTGTACACGTATTTTATACTATAATAACCTTCATTTAAATTTAGTAGTTTAAGTTTGATTAAGAAACGATTATTCAAAGATTTTCCAAACTTTCACGTTATATTGGACTAGCAATCGTCTTCGCAGGGGTCTTTTACAAATATTTCCATTTCTCATCCTTATTTACTATAATATTCTTGTAGTATACATATAAATCATCCTCTTGAATTATTGTATGTACTTGTGAAAACTGGATTAAAATTCGTTTCGTAGTTTAAGAGATTTAAGCAGTCAGCTACGGCAACTTTATATTTGTGTAAACATTCATATTTGTGTAATATTATGATCACGTGAAATTAAATTAGTTTTTCAACTTTTATAAAGTTAAAAAAACCTATCTGTAATAGACTTACAAATTACTGAATATAGTTTTTATATCTTATGTATAGAAATATTATTAATCTCTTACATATCTTAGGCCTTAATACACTTAATATTTTCGCAGCACTCCAAAGAAAAGTTTGAAGTCGCAACCTCCCGATCCCAACGGCAATAATGATTCAGGATACGCACCGTCCAATCTGGAAGACACCATCAGGGAGCACATGTCCCCTCCTGGTTCACCCAGCATGAAAGATGCTACAATACTTAAGAACATGGGATGTGATGGCTCAAAGTGGAAGAAAAATGGGAAGGCGGCAAGAGTGGTCACAGATTCGAGGTAATATCAAATTTCTTTAGTTTACTTGACACCTTGTAGTAACTAATTGAATCAATATTGGTAAAGTACGTCGATATTGTAATGAAATTACAATATATTTTTTATAAATCTCTTTCTTCAAAAAAATTCTTTCTTTAAAATAGGTTGATACGATACATATAATATGATATGGTTGCAATGAAAACCGACGAATCTCCGTTATTTATCTTTAAAAGCTTCTACAATAAGACCGAATTATAGTTACAAGACTGAGAATTAGTGTTTCTTTTTTTTTGTATAAATGTTTTTTATTTTGGTCGTCAAATTGGCTATGTATAACAAAAGTTTAATAGATCTATACAACCGATAAATTGACACCTAAGGAGGCCAGTTATGTTTATTAGTACAACATGATAGTGTTCTATCAGTTGTCAAACGGAGTCTAGTTATTCCTAGACACTTTACACAATAGATTAGACACCGAATTAAAACATCGTGTTGCTAAAAAAATTCCCATCAATTAATCTTTACTATTTTCTAGAAGTGTTTCGTTGGCCGTTCGTTCTGAAGACGATCACGAGGCTAGCACATATGATGTTAGAGACGGTTCATCAGCTAAAAAAGAAAGAAAAGCCAGTGCAGCCACTGCCCGATTTACCATTTACAAAGCTAATAAAGCCAGCAAGAAGAAGAGGGAAAAGTCATCAGCAAAAAAAGAGAGAAAAGCTACAAAAACGTTGGCTATCGTTTTGGGTATGTATTAGATCAATATCTTTTCTGTCTGAAGTTCATATTATGGAGACTGAGTAATGATTGTGCCTTATACTGAGAAAAGATATACGTTATATCCAATGGAAAGTGTCAAACCACCTTATTAGCGCCGCACAGTGTCGTGTTAAGTGTCATGCCTCCATTGCACTTAATTAATATAAATTTGCACTTTACCAAATTTTATAGTACCATCCATTGTTAAATATACATATTACATATATTCTAATCATATCGCATTAAATAAGAAAGAAGACGCAGGATAACGATAATAATGTAAGTTTCTATATCTAAAGAAATCTCATGGGTGTATCGGAGCTCCACGAAACGCGCATTTTATGCGTATTGACTTCCTATCTCCATATTATCTTATGAGCCGCTTTACTCCCTGAAGTAGAATATGCCAGAATCTCTATTTAGCTATCTCCAGGTCTATTAGCATACAATACCTACTTATCTTTTGTATAATCGATTAATGTATTTTCTTTTAATAAAATGTATTTTCTTTTTTATATTACACTTGAACTTATTAGCTGAACTTAATACAAGCAGTTTTGAATACATGCTAGTATATACTATAGAGGATAAAAAATTACTAAAGATTATTATAATTATAATCGATAATTACAGGCATAATTCTTAAACTTTACTTAAAATATTTTAAGTATATTTGACATTCTATTCATTTAAATAATGATATTAATAATCTAGAACAATTCATACAGTGCCATCGAGACCCAGCTAAGCAAAACTTGTGTTATAGGTACTAGACAACTGATACAAATAGTTAAATAATTTTTTGTACTTAACATAGACAGTATCCAGACCAAAACAAACAATAATGCCCATAAATACAAATCTCTACACCATGCTAATGCATGAACCCGCGCCCATCCAAACTAAAATAGTGGGCTAAACTACTAGACCACCGAGATCATTATAGGGTATCTATACCCTAGTCTAGTATGAACTTAGTCGTCCAGAATAACACACATCAACACATGCAAGATACCACGGATAGGATGACGTAATATCCGCACTTGATTTATTTTTTTATGTTTCTGATCATCTTTGTAGTATTAAAGCAGTAAATTGTAAGTTTATATTTTTACAAATTAATGACATAATTTTACAGTAAATCTTACTACGGTCTACATAATAAGAACTTCAAAGCCTATAATTACAAAGTTCACTTTACTTATAATTCTCGCAACTGACCTTTAGATAATGCTGGTGGATTCTATAAACAATTTGAAACTTCTACTAAAGGTTTTACCATAAATTAAAGTTGTATATTCTCAAATATGTATCAGAATGAGTAATTTCTAATTCTTACTTACAGGTGTTTTCTTGTTCTGCTGGGCGCCATTTTTCACGTGCAGCGTTTTGGGTGCTCTATGCGACAAATTCCAGCTGCCGTTTTCCCCGGGTGTAACCACATTTATACTAACCACGTGGTTGGGTTACATAAATTCCTTCCTCAACCCCGTCATATACACTATCTTTAATCCTGAATTCAGGAAGGCCTTCCGTAAAATACTAAAATGCGGTACCTAGCCTTTAGATTATTTGGTCGTCTTCACACAGTAGATCTCGTCTCGTCAAAATAAAGCTCTCATATAACTTTTTTTCCTACTTAATAATTCTATCTTTCACACATATAGTACTTTAAAATTAAATCAATTCTTGTTTCTCTATATATCTCTCTCTATCTCCTTTTGTCTCTAACATTATATTACATTATATGTAATAGTATTTTTATAAAAGTCATTAAATATCCATCTTCATATTATTATTTTCATAATTGCTAATCCTAATTCGCAAATTGAATCTTGATTGAAACTGTCAAACAAATATCTTTTCGGAGAATAAATCGTATTATCTATCCTCATCTATTACTGATTTAATATTTCACTAGGAATTATATATAACAACGAAATATTAGTTCTAAATTCTTAATTTATTATGAGATCTACTAGACGACCAAATAATAATCACTAAAATTGTCAAAACATCATTGTAATGTGATAATTCAATAATGTAGCGTAATTATCAAGGATGTTAATATTATATTATAATTATAGCATATCATGCGCAGGTATATAAAATAATGTGGCAAGATTTAGTAAATAATGATTCATTTAATAAATTTTATCTTAATAACTTTAATGTAAGAATATGAGACTTATTAGTGCTTTGCGCTTCTGTAAATAAGAAAATAATCTAGTCAATGATCAGTATTACATAGGTTTATATTTGTAATTGATTATGCCAAATTTAATAGCGATATTAAGAAGCTTTAGTTCGTTTAAGGTTGTGATTATTTTAATTTTTAATTGGTAGAAAACATTCACCATTCACTATTGTTGTATCATACTATATTATATTATATACTTATGTATATTAGAAAGCATGCCTCTTCGTAAATAATGTAAAATATTATGTGTAAGTAATACTAAAATAGTTTATAAAATAGACATGTATTACATAACACCAAAATTGATATTGTAGGTAATAAAATGTTTTCATTTTCATATTACAGTGTAACTTTATTTCTTCTGTACAAATTATATAAATGGGATAATTACCATGATAATATTGTTCATGCTCTCGATATTCTGTCTTTGCCTTATATAAAATATGTCTTTTTCTGTTTTATATTTTCTGTCTCAGATTTATTAATTGTAATCTATTCCAATGTGGAATCCTCAAATTTTATTTATTATATTATATTATATTTTGATAGTTATAAGTAGTAGTAAAAGTAATAAATTGATGTATGTAATATAATGAGCTGTCTTTCAATGACATGAAAAGTGCACTGCGAGATTTGATAAGGTAGTATATATAATTACTCGCCAAATAGTAATTCGGATCATATCAACAATATAATTGTATAAAATATTTATTAGAAATATATTATTTCATTGTATAAAATAATTTGAATATAATATATTACTTGAATTTGATTGTAATCCAGTATTACTCTATTTAATATCAAAGAACTATTTTATTTTCGTTATCACTGCAGTAGTATTTCCTTAAGATTTATTTTTATTAACAAATATTATTGTAATAAAATTTTTGTTCTGCTCAATTAATTTTAGAGTAGAGATATACATTTTCCTATCGTTTTTGTGATAGATAATGTAGATAAATTATATGATATGAATGCAAAACAAAATATCGTCTTTTATCTTGCTCAATGAAACAAAACAAAATCGGTAATCAATTGAGACAGTGCGTTTTTAATCTATATGGAAACCAGTTTGACTAATATTTTATTTCATTGATTAGTACTGCCGTCTGCGCTAAGGTATATGCTGGCGACATCTGAAATGGCGCGAAGATAATGAATATAAGGTGAGGTCAGTTAGCATAGTAACAAATTTACTAGGAAATAACCATGATGATTGCCATAGGGATGTCGACCCGACATAGTTAATTGGTACCAATGACGATACTAATACGTATTATTAATAATACGTATTACAAACAATCCCCTTTTAGGATCATTTGCGTATTCTACTGCAATTCAGTCAGCGCGCGTCTTACACCACCTGTATTTTTTTTTAATAGACTCAAGGGGGATGACTTCAAATCCATTACTATAGTTATATTAAAAATATTTCCTTTGTGCGCTCAATGTGTATAAATTTGATATTATCGTGAAACAATAATTATTAGATTCGTTGTACTGTCCAGTAATTTATTATTATATATAATGTAATAATAGTTAAAAACCAATTGTTACAGGGTTTATCAATGAAAATCTTGAAATAATGCTTTCTGATATTGATATATGGACATGTACCAAGTGTTTATATTATTTTAAGTTGTATGAGTAGATGAAAAATTATATTATATATAGTAGAAAGCTTATTAGGATGTTTTAGTACATGCATTATAGAGATATATTTATGACGGAAGTGAAATATCTTGATATATTTATATATATCCATTTTTCACTTGTCGCATAATTTATCTAATAGAGTTATTATATAGCTGTTACATATGGTACTTAATATATATAATATTATTTACATGGTCGTTCGTAAAGAGTATACCTAGGTGGAAAAGTCTATGACTTTTAAAATAAAAATTTAAACCACTTTCAATAAAAAATGAAGTGGAATTGTGAGATAAGTTTTAGACTTTACGTACTAAATTATACAGGTGATCATATGGTGTGTATGAAAATTTGATTGCAAAATTCTTGTAACCAATTAGTAATTATTTGAAGAAAATCTTTTTTTCAATATTTACTTTATGTTTTCAGAACATTCGCACAGTATATAAATAATATATCTTGCTCTCTTCTTGGTAGACCCTTTGCGAATAACCCTGTATAATATATTTTATACATAATATAATATGTATTGTACTATATACATATATTTATAACTTATCCTATAATAAATCACAAATATTTACTGTAAAAAATAACCCTGTAATCTACGTCTACCACACGTGTAAATAATTACTGTGATTACAGTAAATATCAATCAAGTTAATGATATCAATAAAGGATATTACCGAATTTTATCATAATTATAATATTGTTTATAGTTATGTTTGAAAATTCTACGTGTACAGTAAGAGACAAGAATTTTTATTATTAAGTACTTAAGTATATTATTTGAATCATGAGAATTATGTTGTTTACATCTAATTGACTATTAATTTGTATCTAATAATAAATAGTAAATTATAAAATAATATTTACAGCAATATAATTGTAATAATACCTATTATTATATATTTAACATTATATGTACTTATTTAAATATTTGTAACTGACTGTACTCGAATGAAATTGTATGTACGTTACGTAGTTTGTAAACTATGTTTTCTATGTAAGGTAGTGTTTTAACTTTCTATGCGAAATTGTGATGATTTAAAATATTCTGTTTTACAATTACTTGTTTTATTTAAAACACTCATAGTTTTTCCTTTAATAAATAACTAGATATAAAATATAATAAAAAAGAAAAATCCCTCGCTGTAATAAAGCGAAAGATGATTCTAGCTAATTACCATAAATACACAAATGCAATATATATCGCTCCATAAGGACAAAAATGAAACAACGAATTTATTATTCGCCATTCTTCTACTACTACATAAAATGAAAATTTTTGTTTGAAAAATGGTAAATCGATTTCTGTCAAAATTTTTGATAATGCAGTTTATTATGAAAAATGAGCGTTATATAAATAAAGAGTCAAAAAAATATTATCGTAAAAGTTAAAAAAGGCTATTAATTTGAACTACATCCAATGAAGTTAACTTTTAGAGTTGAGTTAGAGTTGTTCTTGAAATAAATAGCAAAAAATCAAATAACATTACAAAATTGTATAATTCGTAAATAAAAAATACGATCCACCACATCACTTTTAACTCGTTCAAATAAAATTTTCGTGGTAAATTCTGTGAGCTCTCCAACGCCTTTTGTCTACCAGAATATGTACTTTCAGGCCGCAATTAAATTTTGCACACCATACAGGTGTTATATTTTGCATTCCATTGGTCTTAAAGGACGTTATTTTAAATCTATTCTACTAGATCATTTAGTTAAGTATATAGACAAAAATCATATACATACATATTTTACTGTAAAAATAGTTTATATTTCTTTACTCAAAAATGCATATCAATAAAATTATAAAAAAGCTATTGTATTATAAATTAAAAAATACTTCAATTGAATTACATATGATTAGACAAGTGAAGTACATACTATGAGAACCCAAAAACGTCTCATTGCACGGATCTCTTACCATGGTATTCTAAAATTATACTTTTGTTAAACTTATGTTACGTAATTAATTATTAAAAGTAATTCCGAAATTCTAATCTGAAATAGTTACTTTTGAGTATTGAATAGCTACTAGACTTCTTAGTGTAAACGGACATTGTATATCAAAATAAATATTCTTTCTAGTTACAACAGCTAAATCAGTCTCAATATGTTTCATACCGCTGTTGCAGGATTATCAGAAAATATCCTCAATATGTTTGATTAACGATAAATTGATTGAATGTGACCTTTCTCATTCTCTGAACGAATGTTTGTTTGGGATTACGTGTAGGTATAATATTTTGATAGATTATGAGCTGCTCTCAAACCTTTAACGCAGTATCAATCCTATTTATACCTACTGACATATAGGTAATATTATAAATGTCAGTATATATTTATCCATCTTAATTTAGTTCAATGACCCTGTCAATCATTATGAGATTAAATAGAGTAGGTATAATATAAAAGAATTTTGTATACTAAACTACTATTAGAAGGAAGTCTTATCCCAATTAATTAATATGACCATTATAATGTCTCTAGGTAAAATAAGTTTAATAAAGAAAACTCATAAACTAGATGTTCTCTTAAAGAATCAAGCTACAAAAATAATAAAATTGTCCTTGGTGGCTGTTCGTACAGGGAAAAAATATTAAGTCAATTTCAAAATAATTATTATTGTTGGAATTTTTGTATGTTTGTCTGTGGGTCTTAACCGTTTGGGTGCGTTTTTCACCTGTGTATTGTGGTATCC